TTGTAAAGCGTACAAATTGGTTAATATTCAAGTCGCGCGCCAAAGTTTCCCGCTTCCAGAAAGGTGTACGCGTGCAAGGTTGCTCCTGCTAAATTAGCTGGCTTCGCTTACATTACAAGTAAATGCTCTTTTTGTAAGTTCGAAAGCGTAGTTTTCAAAAGTTCTCAACCTCGAAACTGAGTTTTTTGGTTTCCCTAGAAACATCTGCGAGACTATATTCAGACACCATAAAAAGAGGTAAACTTTCTGCTTCGCAAAATCTCAAGGGTATGTGGCAAGTTATTGGCCTAATAGTTTTGCACAGAATGTAATAAATCAGCTTAAAATGTAGCTTATGAAAGCGCCATTTATTGTGCATGTTAACTGTTTTTGTACATTATATGAACCTTGGTAATGCGTTTCGTTCTCGCAGTCAGTGGATAACGGCACATTCACTTTCCGTGACACCTTGCCATACAACTAGCCCTATTTTCCTGTCTGCCAATCGGAGCAGTGCGACACTCACGCCTTTGGACATTTTAATATGGGCCGGTGGAACCCTTTTTTCGCGTAAACATATTTTTTCTAAGATGACATGCCAATCGACTGAAAACGATGGGATTTCACCTTTTTGTGAAAAACTACAATGGAACTCAGAGTATAGCTAATGTTTTACACATCGCAACGTAGATAACACTCCCTAAGCGCACAATTATACACCAATGAGGGGCATGTGAGCTCTGTGTGCATCCGCGGCGTGACACGGTCACTTCCAATAAGCTGGATTATTATTAGATGACAAGATTATCATATTCTGAGGCACGCAGTTATCACTAGCCCAATCACTGTGTCTTACGGGAGTTGTGCTACGAGATGATTTAGGCTTGTGAGATATCAAAGGAAAGAGAAAAATTTAAAAAGTAGAGCATATTCTTATGACAGTTTTATTATTTAAAAAAACCATGATAGATGTGCGTGACAATTAAAAGACAAATACAACCAATTGGACACCAAATCTGGGCAAAGCCCTTGCAAACAGGTGTGCAAACACGCGAAGGAAAGGATAATATTATAAATCAGGGACGTTTTTTAGCAAAGGCAACCAGCCCCGACAATCACATCAAGAGTGCCCGCCGGTTTCCTAGAGGACCAACGCCAAGACTTTAAGTTGTTACCGGAGTCTGCCATCGCGGCTGACGACGCAAATACCTCAATGGTGTTGTCGTCTGGAAATTTGAAAAAAATAATTTTAATAACGTTCTTTCGCAGTTAATTGCGCAGAAAAACTTGCAGAAGAAGGCACACTATAAACCACTTACTGCCAAACCTAAGGCAGGTGTTCTTGTGAAAATAAAACAAAAGTGAGGAAAATTATAAGCCGCTGCTTATTGCCTGCACCGCAGAAAAAAAATGGTCAAAAAAGTAGTAAGGCAGAACAGAGGAGGAGCAGAGAGTGGTGCTTACGGTAGCTGCTGCCAAGTGCAAAAACCACGCCGCCAAAGGGGAAGATAGCGAAGTCCCGGCGAGGTTGTCGCATGTGAGCCAGCGTGGTCCACTGGCCGCGAGGGCTTCTGGCGTCTGGTGGACTGAAGAGCTCCACGGAATTTAACATATTATGATCAGCATCCTCTCCACCGGCTACTATGAAGTTGTCCCTAAAGGCGGTGGCTGACAGCCTGCAACGTGCTTTTGGCATAGGGGCCGCTGCCTGCCAAAAGTGTGCGGCTGGCACAGAGGTTGTCATCTCCACCCAGTTTGCGTCCAGACGGCAGAATTCCACCGAAGAATGGCACTTGTCTACGAAGAAGTACATATTGTGACCACCAAATACGAAAACGCGGCAGTCGCCGGGCAGACAGGCAGCGGCTGGCCCCCATCCTCTCGCCTCCCGCATGCTGGGCAGTGTGTGCCATCTGTTGTTTAAGGAGAGAAGAGTGACATAATATGCAAAAAGTACAAGACGAAAGAGGCAGCAATAAAGAGATGCTGCATAACAAACGG